GTTATATGAATTGTTGAATGTGAAACTGATGATGTGCCCTGTAAACTTTCACTCAATCCACAATAAAAACCTTAAATTAAAAAAAAAAAAAGCTGTAACCCACGTGTTTGTGAGTTGTCTCCCAGTCTAAGCAGGTCCACGTTTAGCCGAGTGAACTGCTCCACAGGGATTTCTTAGCTCAATCTCGACGCGAGCAGATTGCCAGCCTTTCTTTCATGGCATCACTGGCTGGGTTTGAACCACCAACCTTTAAGTTGGTCTAGTGCTAACCCATCCGTTTGTGCCTCCCAGGGAGCAAAATTATCACAAGACCCAGAAATCTCACTCTTGGATATCTGCACCCAAAACACTGCAATCAGGGATGTAAACAGCTGGTTGTCCACCAGTGTTCACTGCCGTACTGTGCACAAGCCAAGTGTCAACGGATAAAGATAACCACACACACAAGAGCCCCAAAGAAAAACACCAAACCTGTAGCGTCCATTCCAATTCACTGAAACCCCAGGTGTTTCAGAATAGAACTGTGCTCCATAGGATTATCAGTGGCTGTGATTTTGTTGTTGTTTTGGGGAAATAGAAACAATGGAATATTATTCTGCCATAAAGAGAAATGAAGTATTGGTCAATACTCACACATGGATGAACCTTCAAACATGCTGATGTTGAGTGAAATAAGCCAGACACAAAAGGATAGATAGTGTATATGACTCCACTTAAATAGCTAGAATAGGCAATTGCGTGGAGACAGAAAGCAGATTACAGGTTACCAGGTGCTGGCAGAGGAACGGGGAGTTTTTGTTCAGTGTGGAGTCTATTTGGGGCAATGGAAACCTTGTGGAAATGGAAATGGTGATGATCAAACAACATGAGGAATTAATTAATACCACTGAATTGTACACTTAAAATATACTTAAAATGACAAATTTTGTTATGTATAATTTACCACAATTATGAAAAGCAAAAGCCTCTGATCAATAGCTCCACTCATCAGGTACTGGGAGTCGTGGTGTGGTGCTGTAGGATAAGCACTTGACTGCAAGTTCGTTTGAACTGCAAGGTAGGAGGTTCAAACACACCAGCAGCTCACTCGAAAACCCTATACAGGGTTGCTATGAGTTGGAACCAACTTGACTGCACTTAACAACAACCAGGTAATAAGGGGTGAGACTTGCTTCAGAGTCAGGGGCCCAACTCACTCACCACAAATCCTTTTCCCCAGCACTAGCCCCCAGGGCTCCAATACCTTTTTTTTAAAAAAAAAACATGTTTTGAAAAAACTTCAGTGAAAGCAAAAAAGAATGTAGAGCAAGGTTGAAGCAGAGGGTTCTGCTCCAGACAGATGGGGAAGTAGGAGCCTCATCCGCTCCTTCTCTTTACAGTGGAGTCTAAATGAAGGCCCCATGTGCCAAGTTTTAGGTCACACGACTAAAAGCAGAGCTGCATCCAGACTCCGGAATGGAGTCTCCCCCAGGCAAGTGTGACGTCCCTACACGTGAAGTCAATTCTAAAAGCTGGGCATATCTGGAGAGCGCCCCCTGGTGTGGAACTGTAGGATAAGCTCTGGGCCACAAGGTCTGTTTGAACTGTAGTTCAAATTCACCAGCCGCTCCTCGGAAACTCTATACAGGGTCACTATGAGTCCGAACCGACTGGATGACACTTAACAACAACAACAGACAACTCATATTGTTAGAAAGTTAAAAGCTAGTTAAATTAAATAAAAGAAGAAGCACAGGTACAGATAGAACCCAGAGATGGTGGCCTTGGTCACCCTTCAGGTTTGGAACTGAACTCACCCTCGTGGCTCAATTTTCAGCTAAGCAATAGACAGGAATATAGGGGAGACATCAATACTAGTGAAGTACATCTACCATAAAACGGTCAACCATTCGAGATCTCAAGGGCAGCATTTAGCCAAGGACATAATGCAGGAGGATGGGGAAAGAAGGAGGCATGGACACAAGAACCACAGGGAGGAAGTGGGCTGAGAGATGGTATATGGAGGGGACCGCAATCACTGAAATGAAACAAAGTGTCTGATTTGTTGAATGCAAAACTGATCATCTGCTCTGTAAACTTACACTCTATTCACAATAAAGAGTTTTAAAAAAAAATCCACTGGTGTAGTGTTTGAATAAAGAGACTCAAGGGTCTCAACAAGTTCCAGGCTCAAGTGGACAGGGCGAGACCCAACTCTGAAGAATCTCCCAGAGGCAGAAAGCCCCTGCATCACCCACTTGTCCCACGGGGACAAAAGAGCCACCAAGGAAATGGTGGGGTCTGTTGAGCCCTGTCCCAGGAACTGAGAGACCCTCTCACTGGTCTGATTGGGGAAGTTCTGGCAGCTGTGGAAACAGTCGCTGACCCCTGGGTCCTTTTACAATACGAGATTGCAGTTGTTTCACTTTCTGGCTTCTGGTCAGGGGCAGCAGGTGGCTGTCCCAGGACAGGTGTGTACAAGGTCCTGGAGAAGGTTGGGAGAGCATGGAGGGCACACACACAGTATGTTGAAACATACACTGATCCCATCACCTGGCTTTCGAGTTACTGCTTGGGATGTTTGGGGATAGTCCCTGGTAGGACAAATGCTTAATGGGGTCAGCTACTAACTGAAATTTTGGAGGGTTTACTGCACCCAGTCCAGAGGCATCAAGAGACCTAGCAAACTGCAGTCATTAATGACCCCTCAAAGCTCAGTTATACTCTGACACACGGGGCTCACACTGCTGTCTATCCCCCAGGTCACCCAGCAGACAGGTAGATGAGGAAGAAAAATCTGAAAAGTTCGATGATTTGCCAGGACCCCAGAGAGAGAGACAGGGCAGGGTCTCACACATACCTCCTGTCCCCGGCTAGCCCACCTCCCCTTCATGCCTGGCCTCCTCTTTCTTCCATGGACTCCTTTTCCCACACCCCATGTGTGCACCTCCTCCCGCACCACCCCTTGGCCACACTTCTCCAATACACACACACACGCGCGGGACTGCCCACACATCCAAAAGGCTCACCCCGAGGCCTTGCTGGACATCGAAGAGCAGCATCTGGACCTCATTCAGGTACTTCCAGGATGGGTGGTCCTTGTACAGCAAGTCCTGCACTGACCTGGTGGCACTGAGACTCACCCAGACCCACAGGTAGCGCAGTTCCTGCTCATTCACCCGGGCTCTCTGCTGCAGGGAGAGAAGACACCATGGAAACCTCCAGGCACTGCCCACTCCACCCCACTCCACTCTGACCCCAGATCTTGCCCCCACAGAGGGAGGGACCCCAGGGCTACAGCTATCCAGGTAGGGCCAGGTCAGTGTGGACAGATGGCGGGGAACCCTGGGCCGTGTGATGTGTGCCTCAGGGACCCCCCACCCCAACCAGTGCTCTCCCCAGCCCAGAAAGGATCCTCACCAGCCGGGTGATGTTGGCGACTCTGAGCACCCCCTCATAAGGCACACTGATCCTGTAGTTGATGGGAAAGTAGTATTTCTGGGGAGGAGCCAGAACAAAACGTGAGTCAGAGTCAGAAATGCTGAGACCGGTGGTACCAGAGGAGTCCCTAGGACCAGCTAAAAAGAGCCTGAGAGTCCCAAAGGTCTCCCGGAGTCAGAGGGAGAGCCATGTGGAGGTGGGACCAGGGTCAGAGGAGGGAGGAAATGTGGAGGATGGAGGGAGGGGGGCAGCATTACAGCCCTGCTTGCCCCTGGTGTGCCACTCAGGTGTGTGGACTGAAGGCAGAGAAAGGAAAATGGCAAGATCAGGGCTAACACAAGTCCAAGGGGGGGCCTGAGGGTCCCAGACGCAATGCCTGCTGAGTAGGGACCAGGAAAGAGAGACCCAGCTGGCACCCAGGAGGTTACCATGTACTGCAGCCGGTTCCTGTACTGCAGCTTGTCCCGCAGGTAGCCCGTGAAGGTGCACGCCTCTCGCTGGGCCAAGGGCCATACCTCCAAGCCTTCGTTCCCCATGGCCATGCCAAGGAGGATGCCGAGATCTATGGAGCACACCCAGCAAGATCAGGTAAGCAACACAATTCACACAGCTCCTCAGGTGCACCATACCTACAAGAGTTGCAGGGGCTCATGGGAGAGGCAAGGCAGGGGCACAGAGCCCCAAGGAGCCCTTCCCACCAAGAGCGTTCTTCCAGTCTGGCTCCAGGACCCCCCAACTCCTTGCCCCCAGGATGGGCATGGCTCCCCATTCCTGTCCCTGAGGCAGGCACCTCCCTCAACCCCTATCCCCAGGTTGAGCACAGCGTCCCTTCCAGGGTACCTAAGGAGTGACATGTTCTCAAAGCCTGTTGCTAAATTTTCCATCTGGGGATTCAGGAGGTAGTTCCAATTCTAGAAATGACTTTTTGTTGACCCAAGCCATTTACTTTCCTGCTCTTCCTCACTCTAGCATCTCTGTACCAGGGGGTTTGTAAGTGCCCTCACGGTTGATTCAAGATTCCTGGCGCATCCTGGACTGGTCATTACCGGTTTTCACCACTGGGTGGCGCTGTAACATTAAAAAAAAATCTGATTTCCGTGGGACCCAAACTGGAAAGACTTAACAAAAAAATATCTGAGAGAATTTGTAACAAATACGGGACAAGGACTAAGTTGATAAAGGCAGAAAGAACAAAATATAAATGGGCAAGAGATGTATCCAAAAAACCAGCTTCACTAGGAATGAAAGGTAAAGGAAGTAAAATTAAAGTATTCACCAATTTCCACCAAAATGGATGTTTTGTTTCATTTCATTAATGAAACATTTAATGCTGGCAGCTGCTCTCATCCTAAAAAGCAATTTAGTAACTTTTGCTATTAATAAACTTTATAATGACTACACCCTTTAACCCACTTCTAGGAACAAATCTTAAGATAGCAAGAGAAAAGCAAAAATAAAAAGAGAGAAAAACAGAAATAGTCAAAAGACTTGTGGACAAAGATTTACATGGCAGCATTGTTTTATAATAGTCTATAGGTTGGATCATGACAAGTTATGGACAACATTGTGAAGTATGAGTATTTCTGAACACTTAATTGTGCTTATGAGGAATCTCTACCTGGACCAAGAGGCAGTTGTTCAAACAAAACATGGGAACACTGAATGGTTTAAAATTAAGAAAGGTGTGTGACATGGTTGTATTCTTTCACCATATTTATTCAACCTGTATGCTGAGCAAATCATCTGAGAAGCTGGGTTATACGAAGAAAAACATGGCATTAGGATTGGAGGAAGACTCATTAACAACCTGCGATATGCAGATGATACAACCCTGCTTGCTGAAAGTGAAGAGGACTTAAAACATTTACTGATGAAGATCAAAGAGCATATGGATTGTACCTCAATGTAAGGAAAACAAAAATCCTCACCACTGGCTCAATAAACAACATTCTTATCAACAGAGAAAATATTAAAATTGTCAAGGACTTCATTCTTCTTGGATCAACTATCAACACTCATGGAAGCAGCAGTCAAGAAATCAGACGACATATTGCATTAGGCAAATCTGCTGCACAGGAACTTTTTAAAGTGTTGAAGAGCAAAGATATCAGCTTGAGGACTAAGGTGTGCCTGACCCAAGCCATGGTATTTTCAATAACCTCGTATGCATGCGAAAGCTGGACGGTGAATAAGGAAGACCGTAAAAGAATCAATGCTTTTGAGTTATGGTATTGGAGGAGAATATTGAAAGTGCCATGGGCTGCCAAAAGAACCAATAGATCTGTGTTGGAAGAAATGTAGCCAGAGCGCTCCTTGGAGGCCAGGATGCTCAAACTTCATCTCTCATACTTCGGACATATTGTCAGGAGGGGCCAGTCGCTGGAGAAGGATATCATATTTGGTAAGGTGGAGGGTCAGAGAAAAAGAGGAAGACCCCCAGCGAGATGAATTGGCCAAGTGGCAGCACCAATGGGCTCAAGCACGGCAACAATTGTGAGGTTGGCCCAGGATCAGGCAGTGTTTCGTTCTGTTGTGCATAAGGTCGCTGTGAATTGGTACCAACTCAATGGCACCTAAGAACAATAGATTGTAATCTAGATTCTCAATCAAGAATATGGCAATAAAAACCACCGTGTTAAAGAATGTTTATGATAGGCTTACCTAAAGGGGGGAAGTTCCGATAAGCTTTGAAAACCAAAAAACCCAAACCACTGCCATTAAATGGCTTACACGAGACTTACACCGACCCTATGTTGGGTTTCTAAGAGTACAAATCCTTACGGGAGCAGACAGCCTCATCCTTCTCCAGGGAACAGCTGGTGAATTTAACCTGGCAGTTAGCAAGCAGCCCAATGCTTAACCCACAGTATCAATAGGGTTCCTTTCCAATATGCTGAGCAAAGTTAAAAAAAAAATCATGAGTCAACACTCCAGATTTGCATACATAGACAGCATGGCTTGAATCTTGCTAAATATATACAAATTCACATAGAAAATGTGGCGGCTAGAAATGCTCCACCTCTCAGGCGCTGTTTATATTCTTCTTTCTACTTTTCAGAACGTTGTTTTTTAATCTATAAATCAATATTTATTATTGTTTTAGCCCAAAGCAATAATTATTCTTTTGTCATACAAAGATCAAACAATAAAGCATAGCATTGTGAATGTACTAAATGCCGATGAACTATATACTTTAAAGTGGCTAATTTCATGCTGTGTGACTTTCACCTCAATTTTTAAGAAAGGAACAGTTGGGAGCTGCCAGGTGGAGCCAGGCTGAGTCAGCGCTCATCTGAGAGCAGAGACTACAAAGGGCAATTTCCATTCACTTCCTTGGCACTGTAGGGGACTTCTAGCCTGGGCCACACTAACTGTCCAAGGTCACTCCCCCCCTGGACACACCCAGCTCAGTCCTGCCTCATGCATTTGCTTTGACTGGAATGCCCTCACTTAAACCCCTGGGTCTCTTAGTCTCCTCAAGCCGTGGGCCCACATGGGCTTCAGTCCTCTGAAATTCTGACAACCACACTCTTTGCAAGATTTTTAATTTGCCAGATTCTGGAAGGCAGGACCATGTCTCCCCAGGAGTTCCCCTTTCCCCTAGGTTCCCGACACAGTATCAGGACAAAGGGGACAGATAAATGCAAAGAAAACCTGAGTTTGTCCCTTCCACTCTGCTTGCATCTAGTCTCCAAGTCAAAAGCCTCTGTGCTTGGTCAAGAGTATTCTTGCCTCGGGTTTTTGCTGATGCTTTTTGCCTGCATCTTCTGACATGGCGGACCTCATTAGAGCCCTCGCCTGCCCACACGGCCCACACCCATCTGTCTCCGCACCATCTGCTGCATCTCAAGGCCCTGGGGAGCTGGTGAAGGCAAAGTCACATGGCACCCCCGGGTGTCTGACGCTGGGGTCTGGGGCCCAAGAATCAGCATTCCTAGTGAGTTCCCATGTGAGGCTGGTCTGGGAGAGGGACAGTCCCAAAGTAGAATCCCAGGAGCCAGATCTGATCTACAGAGATTTCACACAGAAATCTCCATGTCTATCTTTTCTTCAAAAATCAGTTACTTTGTCCACCCAGGATCTTCCTTCGGATCAATTCCGACTCATAGTGACCTTATGTGGGGTTTCCGAGGAGCAGCTGGTGGGTTTGAACTGCAGACCAGTGCTGATCGTAGAGCGCCATACCAGGAGTCCGTATATGGTGGTGCTGGTGGCTGTGTGCCATGGAGTTGGTTCCGACTCATAGTGACCCTGTACAGGGTTTCCAAGGCTGTAAATCTTTACGGGAACAGAACGCCTCATCTTTCTCCCGCGGAACAGCTGGTAGTTTCGAACTGTTGGCAGTCACTAAATAGCACAGGGACTTCTGGTGTGGCGCTGTAGGATCAGCACTGAACTGAGAACAAGGTCAGCAGTTCAAACCCACCAGCTGCTCCTTAGAAACCCTATAGAGGGTCACTGAGTCAGAACCAACTCTACGGCACTTAACAACAACAAATAGCACAAAGGACACACGGTTGCCCACTCCACCCACGTTACCCCAGCTGTCTGAGTCTGTGTCTTCTGCTGGGGGCCTCTGGATGATGCCTCAGCACCAGGGACTTTGTCTCAGAGCCTCTGGTGCCTCCCAGCCCGGGGTGGGTGAGCGGAGAGGGGCACTCAAGTGCCTCACAAGATCTGTCTCCACAGCCTCCGCAGCCAGAGCTCCAGCTCTAATTCTAAGCTTCTTTTCCACTGTCTCCACTCAGAGAAACAAACCAAGGAACAAACGGAGGAGCGAGCAGCATGGAGCCCTCACGGCCCCAGGGTGAGGCAGGGGCCCACAGCAGTGAGACAGGCTTGTCTCCTTGTCCCCTCTCCTTCCAGGGCCCATAGGCTGAAGAAAGGCCAAGAAAAGCCCTTCCTGATGGAGACACACATGAGGCTTGTCCTTGCCCAGATCTGTATCTGCATCTCCTCCCTCTTCCTCACACCCCCCCAAACTTTTTCAATTCCCAAGAGGTTTCCTCATAGCGACATTCCTTTTCATTCTCACCTCCACCTCTGAAACAACCTTCACTACTTCCTGTCCAGATCTTTGCAAACACCACCCTACCCCCAGCTTGATCTTCCAGAAGCACAGTAACCCCCAATTGTATCCCACCCCCAGCTCGAGAACCCCCCAGGGCTCCCTACGTAAGTGTAAGTGTGGTTTACATACACGCTCTTCACCTTGGCATTCACAGGCTCAGCACTCTGGGCCTAAACCAGCTCTGTGTCCCACCGCTGGTCCTCTGCTCCCTCACTGTTCCATCCACCTGGGGCAGTATCCTCACCACCTTTGAGACCATTTCAGGTGATGCCTGCCCGCCCCCCTCCCCATTGACCTTCCAGTCATCTGAATGTGCCGACCCTTTGCCACACCCCCAGCATGGCTCCCTGTTCATTTGGCAGGTGCTCCATATTACCTAGCCTTGTGACAGGCATGAGGAACAGAGGAAGAGACAGACAAGGTCCTGTTGTCATGGCAGTGACTATCCAGGGGGCATGTGGGAGGCACCGGAAAAATGTGTTGAATTTAGTCTAATTGAATCTTGGAGTCTGAGGGGATCTTGGGCTAGCCTTCCACCCACCAAGCTTAAGAAGCTTCCAGATCTTTTTTTCAAAATCCTCATTTCCCCTTATTTTTCTTTTTACCAACAATACTGATCCGTTGTTTTGGTTCCATTAGGGAGAGGAAGGGGCAGAGGGCATCTAGTTACATCTCTGACTCCTTCACAAGGTCCCCTCCCTGGCTGCTACACCCAGGGAAACCAGAAATCCTTCCTCACCCACCTCAGCTCCTACAGGTACTCCAGTGTCAACAAGTCTGAGAAGGTAAGCGGTGCCTGCCCAGCCCTGTGGCCACACTGCAGGCTGTGCCCACCCAACCTGTGACCTGTTTCCTGCCTCCGCTGCATGCCTGTCTGAGATCCTGGGATCAGCTGGAGACAGGGCAGAGAGCTAGCCACCCATAGCAGGGCTGTAGTTAAGGTGGGAAGCATCCTAACTTCTCCCAGGCAAAAAAAAAAAAAATGCCCTGGTTGCCATGGTGACAGCACAACCCAGCTCAGGGTCAAGGCCTCCCAGGGAGGGTCCCCATGGACCAGTACTCACAGTGCAGCCAGGCGTGTCCCCGGGGCATGATGGTGAGCTGGGTCTCTCGGAGAGCAGAGGTAGCTGTCACACACAGTGTCCACAAAGCCCCAAATGGGGCCTACATGGCCTCAGGTCCACAAAGATGGTCACACAGCAGGAGCTGGGTGTCTGGGCAGGGGACACAGCAGGTGCTTCTTGGGGTAATGCCACGCCCTTATCTGCCAGGCAGGGCGGAGGGCACCGAGAGGGCAGCGACTGCCAAGCCCATCGCAGCAGAAGACTAGGTCTAGCCAGTGGCCTTGGAGGTCTTCCTTCCCAAAGAGGCAGAGTCCCTCAGAATCTGGGGCTGGGTTGCGATTTCTCGTCAGCAGCTGCTCAGTGTGAAAGCTGGTGCTGGGGAGAGGAAGGAGGAGAAAGACAGATTATGTAAGAAGTGAGCAGAGCTGCCAGCCATCCCAACTCTCGGGGAGTCTACAATGGGGGCTGCACCCACTGCCTGCCTGGGGCCATGGGAGAAGGTGAGGACAAAGCCGCCCTGACTACTCAGGGAGGCAACCTCCCAACAGCCAGAGAGCAGCACTGGTCCAGAAAACAGAGGCAATGGCACCAGATGGGACAGAACAAAAGCAGGGTCTAGGAGTGAGCAGTGCTGGCTAAATCAATGGGTGCTTCCTGAAGAGGTACATTTCAAGGTCAACTCCAAAGCCAAACCCACTGCCATCCAGTAGATTCTGACTCATAGCAACGCTATATAGGGCTGGCGAGGTGGTCAGTCTTGACTGGAGCAGACAGCCTCATCTTCCTTCCACTGTAGGTTTGAACTTTTCAGTGAACAGCCCAGTATCTAACCCACAGTGCCACCAGGATTCCTGTTAAAGGTAAAGTATGCTCTGGTGGCGTAGTGGTTACGAATCAAGCTGCGAACCGCAAGGTCAGCAGTTCGAAACTATCAGTTGCTCTGCAGGAGAAAGATGAGGCTTTCTGCTCCCATAAAGATTTACAGCCTCAGAAATCTTTATGCAGGGTCGCTATGGGTCAGAACTGACTCCATGGCACTTTAACAACAATAATCCTCATATAAATATTCATTATCTCTTTGTTTCGTTTTTCCATCAGAGTCAGTTGCAATTCACAGTGAGCCAGAATGAGAGAATCTTTACAGGAACAAATGGCCAGGTCTTTCTCTCATGGAACTAGCTGATGGACAGGTCCAAATTGCACTGTAGGAGAAGCACTAGACTGCTAACCACAAGGTCGGCGGTTCAAACCCATCAGCTGCTCCTTAGGAACTCTACGCAGGGTCACTATGAGTCAAGACCAACTCGACGGCGCTTAACAAGTATGGCATGGGCCATACTTACACTGAAAAGCTAGTCATTGTTTATCTACAATTCAAAATTAATCACCAGTCCTGTATTTTTCCTTGCTATGTCTGGCAACCTTGTGCTAACAATGGAGGTAGCGCTTTCTGAATACTCACTACTATATGCTAGACTAAGGGCTTTACAGTCACTGAACCCTCACCCAAATCTTAAGGGACCCTAAAATCTCATTCAATCAAGGATAAAACCAAGGCCCAGAAAGGGTGAGAAACTTGTCTAAGGTCACACAGCTTGTAGGAAGCACAGCAGAAATGCAACCCAGCCTGCCAGCAGCCACCATCATGCCTACAGGAATCAGAGAGCGTTTACCTCTGGGCACTGGACTGAGCACTCAACACACGGTCATCTCATCTATTCCTCAGTGGACTCTGTGAGATAAAGGCCATTGTCCCCATTTGGCCGATATAGAAACTGAGGCTGGAGAGGGTGTGTTGGCCAGAGACAGAGCCAGTTCTGAAATTCAATCTCTGCTGCATGCCTCGCCCTCTCCATTTCCCCTCTGGTTGGGGATATGGCCACAGGTAGATGGCAGAAGAGGAAAAAGTAGGTTAGGACTTGGGAGCCTTCTCCATTATGGTATCCATGGTGTTCATCACAGAATGCTGGCCCGGACCCTTGGAGGTTCCCATGCACACAGACAAAACCTCACCCAGAGAATTCGGGTGCTTTCACATTTCCTGTCTGTGTGAAGTCACCCCTGAATCGGTCCCTTATCCAGCTCTCTGTTCCGGTTTCGCCTGATCCTCCTCCTCCACCTCTTCCTGCAATTTCCCTGCTGATACAACAGCGCTACAAACACTAACCTAACTGTAACTTTTTGTTGTCGTAGAATTTTCTTTTTCTTGGTTTTGTTGTTAATTGTGTTCCATTGAGCTGACTCCAATTCACCGTGATCCCATATGACAGAGCAGAACTGCCCCACAGGGGTTTCTTGGCTGTAATCTTTACCAAAGAAGATCACTGGACCTCTCTCCAACAGAACCACTGAATAAACTCGAACTGTCAACCTTTAAGTGAGCAGCTGAACACTTACCTGCTCTGCCACCAAGGCTCCTTTTTACTAATGTATCATTACATCTGAACTCCTGGTGTAGTGATGTAGAATCAACACTGGACTGTGAACCACAAGGTTAGCAGTTCAAACCCACCAGCTACTCCTCAGAAACCCTATACAGGGTCACTGTGAGTTGGAACCAACTGGATGGCACTTCACAACCACAACATCATTAACATATAACCTCCTGGTTCTGCTGCCGCTGCCTCTCTATCACTGCCTCTCACAATGTAGCACCGTCTCTGCTGTGACAACTCTCTCTGTCTCCTGGGTCTAAGAGGTTCTTAGCACAGAGACTCTGGGTCCAAAGGAGGCTCTCTCTTCCCATCTCTTCTTCTGAAGATAATGCTTCTCTTTCTTCCTCTGAGATGACTCATTTTAAGCCTAGCGGAGGAGCAAAATGATCAATTCTCTCTTTACCTACCCACTGCCATTGAGTCAATTCTGACTCCTAGCGACCCTATAGAACTGCTCCTTAGGGTTTTGCTGACTAAATCTTTATGGGAGCAGATTTCTATGGGACCCTTATCGTTCTCCCAAGGAGCAGCTGGTGGGTTTGAACCGCCGACCTCACGTTTGGAGCCCAACACTTATTATGAGCCCAGCCCTCATTAACAGTTTCATATACCGTATTTGCATGGTTCCACCCACATATGGGTGTCATGCACCTTGTTTGCATTACTAGCAAGCTGTCCAGTCTTCCAGGTGGGCCCCAAACACTGTATTTGCAAAGTCCCACCAATCATTCAGTGAGAGGTACAAGATCATAGCTACAAAAAACATACATCACACCACACTATCCATGGTGGGAAGTCAATAGATCAAAAAGCCTGTTCGTTATTCAGACAACACAACACCAAAAGCATTTTTTGTTGTTGTTTTGTTTTTTTTTTAAGTTGAAAATCTTGTGTCTGGAAAGCAGGAAATGGGCAGAGTCTCTGGTTTTTCTCACATCTTACTGAACCGCTTGGTTCTGTCTTTTAGATGCACTTACAAGTCTATAGCCATACCACTATGAATGCGCCTGATTGCAGAAGCTAAGCAGGGTAGGGCCTTGTTCGTACTTGGATGGAAAACAACCTGGGAATTTCAGGGGCTGTAGGCTTTTGTTTTCTTTTAGGAGCACTGGTAGCGTAGTGGTTACAAATTGGGCTGCGAACCTCAAGATCTGCATTTCGTAACTACCAGCTGTTCTACAGGAGAAAGAAGAGGCTTTCTGTTCCCATAAAGAGTTATAGCCTCGGAAACCCTGTACAGGGTCACTATGAGTCGGAACCGACTCCATGGCACATAACAACAACAACAACATAACTCTGGAGGCATTTCCTTCCCGCTACTTTCTGAAGCCATCTGCTTTGGCTCCTTTCTTCCTGCTTAGGAATCAAGACCATTTCCCCTACCCACGCAGAGAGCAATGGAACCCCAACTGGAATCCTGGTAGTTTAAACCCAGAATTGTGCCCCAGGCCTTAAGAAAAGTTGTAATTTGATATTCAGGGCTCTAAGAGCTGTGTGGAAAAACTACCCCAAATTTTAGTGGCTGAAACCAACAGTCATGTAATATTTTTTATGAGTTTGAAGGCTGGCTAGGAGACTGGGCTGATTGCGGATGGGCTGGTAGGAGGCATGCTGGTCTGGTAGTGTTCGTTTTCCTGGCAGAAGCAGGGTCATAAGAAAGGCAGCAAAAGTATGAAGGCCCCTGAAGACACAATCACATCACTTTTACCTCGTACGTTCTGTTGGTCAAAGCAGATTTAAGAAATGGATGGGTGGGCAAGGGGAGAATTGGAGCCACTTTTTCAACCATTTCATTACATCCATCCAATGCTTTTTTTAAAAAGTTTTTATTGTGGATTAAGTGAAAGTTTACAGGGCAGATCATCAGCTTTACATTCAACAAATCTTACACCTTGTTTCATTACAATGATTATAATCCCCTCCATTTACCATCAGTTAACAGTATTTCTCTCTATTCACTTTAGGGTTTTTAAAAAAAAAACAAAAACAAAAAACACACTCAGGCATATAAAGCAATTTACACCACCAAAGGGCTCATTCTGCAAGTCTGCCTCCTGGCCGCCAGCTCTCAGTCCCTCTCTTCCCATGAATCTAGAGTCCTCAGCTGCTCCCTCTCTCTATATCCCCAACTCTGCCTCCATCTCTGGCGTCATTACTTCTCTGGATAAGGTCTCACATTCCAGTTGTGCTCTGGTCCTAGGGTCCTCTGTTTCTGGACTGTAAGATTAACTACTCCCAGTTTTTGTTACAAAACTTCTACCTTTACAGTTGTGACAGTTGCAATTAGTCATGATAACAATTACTTGCTATTGAATCATAAGAATCTTATCCCCATCTCTTTTAACCAGACCCATCTAAACAAGATGAAAACTATTCAGTGGGGACTCTTTCTTCCCCCACATACTCTTAGACTAACCCCCCCTCCTTGAAACCTTGTAAGCCAGTAACTTTGTGCCTTTATCGCCCCCTCATTTTAGGTAACCAATGTCTAAGTTGCCCGTCCCTATATACCCTGTGTACAGAGGGGATGGTATTGATACTTGATGTGAAGACTCCTTCCCTCTCTGTTGGTATTTAGTTATTACCTCCATGA